GTTAAATCGATCCAATAGGTGACATCCTTAAAAAAAGTGCCTGCATGCAAAAATCGGTTTGCTAATGAAAGTCTATTGTCTTACCTGTATATTTAAGCACCTGTTCAGCCAGACCGAAATATTAGGAAATACACTATTTACAGTGTTAGTAAAATTAACTTTCTTAAGATTTTCAATAAGAAATATCTACACCTGATCAACATATGCCACCATTTTGAAATGAGTAATGTAGTGAATGATTCTGAACTATGTAAATAGATGTCTATAGTAGTGTCTAGTTTCATTTGTGTACATTGTAAACTATACAAAGCTGCTATTCACAGTTGCCTAACAATGGGTTATTTTGTATTGAGTGTTGACTATTGGAACGGTGTCAACTAATGGCCCTTTTACCTTACGTACCATCTAGAAATAAAAATAAGCAGCTCATACGGTCATGTGTCTCACAGCGCCATAAATAATTTTAAAATGGCCGCTATTCGAAATTACATTTGTTTACATCTAGGATAACCAGATGGTTTTATATATACATCTGTTGGGAATGGTAAATTATAATAATACTACATAAACAATTACGCGAGAACCACACTTGTTTTAGTCATAAAAATTGAGATTACTTACTATTAAAATCACTATTTCGTCCACAATAATCTTTACACTGCCTTGATAAAATTACAACTGAAAAACAGTATAATATGCACGCATAGGTTGCTATTATTTTCGTAAATCTAAAGATGTATTAATTTCAATCAACTGACCTGTGTGTGACACGGACGATCCGAAGACGGTGTTTACACAACCACCTTTAAGTCTAGGTTCGTGTGGGTTGAGAAGGAACGGTTACCAAAAATATTTTTCTCGGACCCGCAGTTTCCATACTTAAAAATCGTACAAATCTTTGAGGACTTGCACTTAGGTTTCACAACTTTGTTAACTATTTGTTATTGCGTATTACTTTGTTAAGTATTTCAATTTCTCTTTGGGTAAAATTTGGCTTTTGGCTTGTCTTTGAATCATCCATAGTTATAATAAAATTGTTTAATAGTAGGATAATTGAAATGTTAGGTTATCATTACCTAACATATCAATACAACCACTTTCATTACTTCAAATTCCAATAAGAGAGATATGGATAACTCTCTAAATTTAGCTAATGAGAAACAAACTGCTAAATACTCTTTCTCTATTTGTGCAAAATGAGCCGCACAATCAGTCAATCTCAGGGGCCGCTCGAGATATTTTGGCGCCCTGGGCAAAGCAACATCTTACCGCCCCAAACCACTGATCTCGCCTCACCCTTTCCCACAAAGAATAGCAATAGGCATTAATCGAACATTTTGCACTTGTTTTATTTATTTTGTAAAAAAAAATATTTGAAAATAAGTAACAGTAATTAAAAATATATTCTTTGGTACAAAGGAACTTAAATTTTTCAACTTACGATAAACTAAACAAATGTTTCTTTTCTCGCTTTCAAACTTGCAAAATCGCACACTAACTCTCGCAAATCTAGTTTTTGGCCTAAGTCTCTTTCAATAGTTAACAACGCCAATCCGCTGAGTCGCTCTTGAGACATAGTTGAACGTAGGTATGTTTTTATACATTTAAGCTTCGAGAAACTTCTTTCGCCACTTGCAACTGTTATAGGTAATGTAAGTAAAATTCTTATGGCAATTGCAACATTTGGTGCAAAATCTAATCCAATTACAAATTTAAGAACTTCTAAAGGCGATTTTCCCGGTTCAACCAGAGTGCATAATGAAGAAAGTTCATCGGCAAGTTCCATACCATGTATGTCAGAAGAATTTCCATCAGTGAGTACAGCTTCTAAATCTTGGCAATGTTTAAATAGTTCACCTCTCGACATATCTTTGATGCCGTGAATGTCATATAAAAATAAGAAATTGTCGCTATGTTCTTTCAACTGCGTAAATCGATGTTTTAGAGAACTTAAAACTACGTCAATTGTGTGGAAAAAGAACTCTATCTTAAACTTTTGTTCTGGATTTTCAATTGCCTCATCTGAACTTTCATAATCAAATTGCCGTTTCACACGTCGGGCCCGTGCTCTAGGTTCAGATTTTTCAAAATTTGCTGTCACGTCGAACTCTGTTGCAAGTTCTTTAGCATCTACGTTGAATTTTTTGAAGGATTCATCTGTACGAAGATTTTTAAAATAAGTTAATGATTTTTCAAGTAGATAAATTGCTGAAGACAAATCAAACTCTTTGGATTGCATCAATTTGCTAACGGGATTAATGTGATTTAGTATGTCATACCACATTACCACAGAGCACAAAAATTTAAATTCCTTCATTTTATTCATCAGACTTAAAGCTTCATCTTTTGCTAATGCATCAACTTCTGGGTCATCTTAAATGCTATACAATGCATCATAAATATCACCTATATAATATCTAAAAGGCTTCACGGCATCAATCCTGCTCTCCCATCTAGTGTTACTTAATGGTTTGAGTGTTAAATTTGTAGCATGCTTCACAAGTATATTCCACCGTAACGTTGACGCAGAAAAAAATACATATATTCTCTGAATTATGTTAAAGAAATTTGTAGCCTCTGAGGATGACATAGCAGCATCATTTNATTACCTAACATATCAATACAACCACTTTCGTTACTTCAAATTCCAATAAGAGAGATATGGATAGCTCTCTAAATTTAGCTAATGAGAAACAAATTGCTAAATACTCTTTCTCTATTTGTGCAAAATGAGTCGCACAATCAGTCAATCTACGTGAACAAAATGCAACTGGTTGCCCTTGTTGAAGACAACAACCACCTAAACCGCTTTTACTAGCATCAGACTGTACTACTACGGTAATTTAGAATCAAACAACTTTAATTTGGCATATTGCTTATGACATTCTTTAACCTATTGAAACAATTTGTATGTTCCACAGTCCAAACATACTCTACATTATTTTTTATTATTGCCAAATTTAGTATAACCACTTTATGGTTAATTTACACCTGACACCATGTTTCATACGGAGCTTTATTATGTTATATAAATTTAAACGTACACTTTATTCTGTTAAGCTATCAGTACAATACAATGACACCACCGTGCTCTAACCCCGAACCATTGAACGACCACTTCCTTGTTACAGTGTTATCAACATACCTACTACTTTTAGGATTACCAACATATGTAACAGGTACTTAACTTCTAATTTGATTTTATAAATACCTAATGTTTTTGACCTGAGTCCTCTTGTTTACACCCTTTTGCCCACGACAACCTTGAGCGCACGAGCACTCCTTCCATAGTTTAAAATCACCAAAACTACTCAAAAACAAAAATCGAGTAACATACGTTGCTACACATAAACTTCACATTAACATAAATACTGCTTTTTAACTGCAGTTTGAAATGCAAAGCATAGAAAAAAACTGCGTTTTGTTTTGTAACTGCTTTTTGGAAATAAACTCGTCATATATCCGAGTGAATCCAAGTGAATAATAAAACTTTATTGTTTATTATGACTACGGGAGAAAATAATTGTTTCAGTACTAAGAAATCCAATGGAATAATATTCATAGCCATCGTATACAAAATAAAAAATATGGTTTTATTACTGGATTTAAATAAATGTTCCATGATTTTAATAATTTTCATGTTGTAGTCGATATATTCATTATCTTCATCACTACTACTCCAGTCCATGGCTTGATCGTTTTCAATATTGCCTTCTCCGTCAATTTGCGTAAAAATTTAACCAAGTTAATAGAATTATGAATAGATACTTTATGTATAATAATTTGATATAATAATTAAGTACCTGAGAGAGTTTTTAGTGAATTACTGACATAATTTGGTAGCTGATCCCCTTCAAATCATCTAAAATGGTACTGTGTTATTTTCCTGAATTTTCTGGTTGATATGTGGTTAGATTTTTCAGGTAATCATAGTTGATCATAGGTGATCATAGTGATCATTGCTGTAACAACTCGCTTTCGAGCGATATTCGATATTTCGCAATTTCTTACGGTCAAAAGCTTCGTTAACCTTTTGAGGCCGGAATTAATTCGAAAATTGTGAAGTAAAAAATAATGGGAATTTTTGAATAGAAATGTGTTTATTAACATAACCATAAGTTGAAATATCACTTAAATAAACAAAAAATATACAGAATTTTCCTGCAGGACCTGGTTACTAGTGCTAACCACTAGGAACTGAATAATACAGGTATCAAGTTTACTTTGCAAAATTGCAACTTGAAAAATGAAAAAACAAATGACGCAAAATGATTCTTTTATTTTATGTGAAACAGGGCAAAACAGTTCCTGTCTTTATTTAGGCATAGCCCCACTTGACAGGTCGTACATTTCCAAATCGTTCTATGAACATGTTTGAGGGTACTACATTTAGCACACCGGACTGAGGTTGATCTTTTCTGCATATGAAGAGCTTTTCCATAACGTACTTCGTATGGAACAACCTTTTTGAAATTACTTGGAGGTCGTTCTAAAGAAGGTCTTCCGGACTTGGCAGGTTCAAAAATACCTATAAGTCCTCGCAACACAGACATTCTAAATTGTTTTAGTGTAAGGGTTTTGCAATTACATCTTTGCAATTGGAAGAGAATAAAGGCATTAACTATGGTGGCATCAAGAAAGTAAAAAAGAATCAGATGCCACCATTTATGAGCCTTTCTGTCAACTTCATAATGGCTTTTCATCATGTCAAAACGGTCAACATACCCCATATGAGTATTATAATCCCGAATCATCCTTGGACACGGTATCTCTTCCGCACAACCATTTTTCTTTTTTCTGGAAGTAGTCTCCATAATTGAGGGATCATGGTAGTTCCCTAGAAGTAGGACACTTCGGCGGTCCATCCATTTGAGGGCAGCTATTCCATCGTTTGAAACACGCCAATCAGCCTCTCCACGTTTCATGGCTTTGTCTGTTTTGAGTTCGGGGAAGTGTTTACGCCCTTTTCGAATAGTTCCACAAGAATGTATTTTATCAGATTATAACTTTCGCTGAAGTTGGACAGAATTAAAGTAATTATCGAAAAACACCTTGTGATTTTTATCTACCAATTTTCGAGTGAGATCCATGACAACTCTATGGCCCAAAATTTTTTCTGTTACTTGATCAGCCTTGCCAGTATAAATTTGGAATTCGCACTTGTATCCTGTTGAATCCGCTCGAACCCAAACTTTGTAGCCTCGTTTGATAGGTTTCATTGGCATGTATTGGCGGAAGCTACTACGCCCTTTGAATCTTATCATGCTCTCGTCCACGGATTGAAACTCGCTAGGCTTCATGGACGACATAAATGTTTCTTGAAGCTTAGAGAGTAGAGGTCTTACCTTATATAGCTTGTCGTAGTTTTGTTCACCTTTTTGTGGTTGAACTGCGTTATCATTAAGGTGAATATTACTCAGCAACCAAGCAAATCTATCTCTACTAATAACGGAACTAATAAAAGGATCTCTCATTTCTTCCTGAGAAGACCAGTAATCTTTGAAGCTTGGTAGTTTTTTCAAACCCATAAGGAGATTAACTCCCAAAAAGATTTTAATCTCCTTTGCAGTTGTTGGTTTGAAATTTCTTCCTTCACCATGTCTCTGAAATGCGTATAGGTTGGTTTGGAATGTAATGTGGGTGATCAAATCTTCTGGAAACAAATGCAAGAATACGTCTGTCGGTGTCTCAATATCATCAGGCAAATCCGGACCAGTTGCTTCTGCGAAAGCACTTGGTTTCATAATGTTGGAAACATCGTCAGACCAGTAATCTGACAGGAATATATCAGGTCGTCTGGCGAGTGGGATATCATCATCGCTGTCCCAGTGTAAGTCGTTATTGGAAATCACGTGATTATCCTCGATAATTATGTCCATATTTTCGATGTCAAAAACTTCACCATTATTGGAAGCATCAGGCGTCGGCAATTCATCATTCATAACCTCGTCTAGATCTTCTACAAGAGATTCATTATCGCTCGGTATTTCGTCTAGAAGAACGAAAACACGACCTGGATCCATATTTTCGATATCAAACAATTTCCAGCAAGCCATATTATCTGAAATGCAAGGAATTAAATTACAAAATATACTCCACCACATTTGTTGTCAAATTTTAGGATTAAAAATAGTTTCATACAATCTATTAATATTAGGAATATTAAGGAAAAAAAAATATTTTTTAAAAGTATATATTCCTAGTGGTCACCATGGGAGGAAACCACACAAAAATCTGCTCACGTCAAGCTCATTTAGAGAAATACAGAATATTTTTTACAACCGACAATAAATATGCATATGTTTACTTACTGGAACACTATGGAACACTTACCTGCTATTCTTAGTGCAAAAATATAACAAAAACTATGAAAAAATTCAAAACTAATAGGCAACCTCAAACACGCTCTTAACGCTATCAGTGCAGCATCATAAATGTCGCTAAAGACGAACAAACACGGATGCAATGCGCAAGGACAATGATCTGTAGGCAACACATTAAACACTGTGGTTAACACGTACTACCGGTAGAAAAATATTAGTGGATATTAGTAATATGGTTTTCACTGATAACCAGTAGTCCTCAAAGGGTTAACATCCGAGGTCGTATACGTGTTGATGAACATTTGAAGCAGAGCAGTATCAACATCAATTATCCCACCAACATTGTATTCATTACATATAAATCCATGTATAATATTGTTTTGTTGTTCATTATTATTTTCAAATAATTCGCTATCACCAAACTTGAAGAAAGCTTTTTGATATTCTTCTTTTTTTAAATATTTTATAAGGTTTTAATTTTCCTTTTCTGAAAAATGCAGGATTATAATCACATCCTGTTATTACATGAAATCCAGGTAAGCTTTTGCAAATAGATTTTCCCAACTTTTGCGTCTATCTTTGTTAGGTTTAAATACCTCAAGTTGTAGGTGGTGCATATTTTTTTATATTGTATATGATGGCTATGAATATAATTGAACTATTTTTTCATTGGACTTCTTAGTACTGAAACAATTTTTTTCTCCTATAGTCATAATAAGCAATAACATTTTAATGAAATATCGAAATTTGAATTAAATTAAATTTTAAAAACAAAGTTCATAAAATTCCAAAACATTAACTTAGATTTATTTTTTATTGATTTATTAACACGAAAACTATAGAGAATAATTTTTTAAAATTTATTTTATACACCTTTGCTACCTGCTACCTCAGGTCAGCCAAAGCCACGATGATCCAAACTCCAAATCGCCGATCGTTCCTACCTCTGTTGGGGACATGCGCAGAGAAACTTTCAGCTTCTATACTATGAGGAAGGTCTGGCGATCACGGGCTCTTGCTCTATAGAAAGGAACCAATGCATTGTTTGATTTAGCACCAATGATTATAGAATGGCCTACAGGAAATGCTTTTATTAATGTTAGAGATAGTTTCAATCAAATTAACTTTCCTGATGTAATTGGCGTCATTGACGGCAGTTACATAAAAATACTATAACGGTCCCAATTTTAGATTCTATATAGCTTGAAGAAAAACATTCGATAATACCTTTACTTGTTAATAATTATAAGAGACAATCCTAGTAGCGCCATCTTGTGGCCGGGATAATGCTAACATTTAGGTGTAGATTTCAACAACTGGAATGTTAACAAATTTCCTGATAAAGTCCCCTTTTTCTCCTTTTTATGTAAATTGCAGTGGTTGGTATAATTTGAACAATTGTTTTGAATTTGTGAAGTGGCGTGAATCCATCTCTCCACTCAATACCATGATGATTTTCTGTTAGCCACGATGCTTGTCTATGTAACTGTACAGAGAGCACATGGAAGGGAAATGGTGGTTTGAACAAACAATGAAATGTCCTCTCTCCATCAAAAGCTGCCAATTCTTTAACGATAAATTTATTGTTTTCAGATTTGAATGCTTGTCTGTCCATTACTATCATATTTTTAAGTTTTCCAACTGTTTCAACACATATATTTTTAAATAATATAAATCAATTTCTCTTCTTAATTCTTTAAGCTTTTCTATGTACTCTTGCAAGGCCTTTGTATATCTGAAGATCATTGTCTACTGTTCTTATATACATGTTGTTCCCGACCGCTATATTGCAGTCTATGCATAAAGTATTAACTTTAATCATTTGGACTGGAAAATCTGATATCGGATAACAGAATACAATGAATTTTAGAAAGAGATGTCTCGACATTGAACAGGGTACCTTTAATGAACATATATAATTCATTATAGAAATTTAAAGCAATGTATAATGCAAGGATTAAAGGTAAATAAAATTAATAAAATTTTAGAATGTTCGCAACTAGCTAAACCATACATAGACTTAAATACAAAATTACGAAATTAATCAAAAAATGTCTTTGAAAGGGATCTATTTAAATTTTACATAAACTCCATATATGGAAAAACTATGGAAAACTAGACAAAAGGGTTGATATTAAACTTTTATCGTTTTTATGGGAAAACATTCACCATAGAAAAGGGGCTGAAAGTTTTGTAAGCATGCCTAATTTTAAATCTTTATCTATTTTTTGCAGAAAATTTAGTTGCCGTCCAAATGGGACATTTATCTATTTGTTATAATAAACCTTTATATGTAGCATTCTCCATACTTGATATTTCAAAAACCATTACATATGACTTTTTTACAACTTTAAAACTTATGGAGAGAAGGCATCTCTTTGTTAGGTACACTGACACAGATTCTCTAATTATTGAAATTCAGACAGATAACATCTACAATGATATTAAAAATAATATTTGTTGGTTTGGTACTTCAAATTATAAAGAAGACAATATTCACGGAATGCCTAAAAATCTGTCTACTCTCGGTAAAATGAAAGATGAATATGCCGGCATTCCAATTACAAGTTTCTATGGCACTGGAGCAAAAGCTTATTGTATTGAATTGGGTGAAAATGAGACCAAAAAAGCCAGAGGTATATCTAAAAACGTCATTGCATATTCTAGACTATACCAAAATCGTCGAGAACGGTGATTTGGTTGATCGAAAAATGTATAAAAGCTCAGTAAAAGTTTAAATGCGGATGACATTTTTGAACAAAGTAAATGTATCTTGCGCTTCAGATTGAAGCTTGGCATTCATATTAGTAAAAATGGGCAACACAAATTGTAAAAATTCTAAATACAACATTGTCTCAGGATCGTTAAGGGAATTATGAATTTCATCAGCTCCAGACACTGTCATATAATTCGATACCAAAATAAAGCTTTAAGGCTTCGTATTGTTCTAAAACTCTATCGACAGCAGCACTCAAAGATAACCATCTAGTTTGATTAGGTTGTAGCATTTATGTGGTTTTATATTAACAAATGTTTGGAACTGCTGATATACACCCCGTACCATTTTTTCAATCAAGTCGGGCAAAACTTCACGAGCGTATAGTGCCAAAGAATGGCAAATGCATTGCATTACAAATAAATCTGGAATATCATTTGATAATAGAATTTTTAATGAATTTGTGTTACCCCATCATAGCATGTGCCTCATCTGCCCCAAAACCTATCAAATTCTGTTTGTAGAGCACATTATTCGAATTAAAAAAAAATGTTTAATTAATTGACACATGTTTTTAATGTTAAAAATTGGTCCATAAATATTCAACGTAGCAAGTGCCATACTTTTTGTAGAAGAATGATGATGTAGATTCATCTACCAATAAAAAAATTTTCGAATTTTGTTTGCCTAATAACATTTTTTATAATGGCTGTACATTTTGTTCTTCCGCACGAAATTTCTTCTTTCTACTTCTTTTGAAGTTTTCTCAAGATAAATTAAAGCAAATTCAACAAGAAATATATTAGATTTTCCTTTCATCACTCTCTATTTTGGATTAAATTTACGACAGACAATATCAAGGCAGAAACAACAACTATAAATTTAGAAGACATTTCTATGAGAAACATGTTAAACAAATTAGAACCGCCACTCTCATCCACTTTTGAACTAATACTATCAATAACTGTGTCTTTAAAATGAACATATTTTGTCCATCCTTCCCAATCATGAGCATTTGTCATAGGTGAGTCTATTGATATAGAATCAAATCTAAATGAAGAAAAATTGAGAACAGGAATTCTTTCTATGCTTCTTTCATCTAGAAAAACATCCATCATAATTTGAAATTGTTGCTCTTCTTCCATTTGAGAATTTGGTTCCTTTCTCACAATTAGTTAATTTACTATAGCTAATGTTTTTACAGATATCAAATCTAAAAATTTCTTCATTGAGCCATTTGGTTTTTCCTTTAAAATTTAAAATATTGGGAATAAGCTCATCATCCATCTTTGCAACAGATTTTATGATTCTGGTTACAACTGATGCTAATTTTTAGTTTCTGTTTTTTTTCAAGATATAAGTTGACTCCCATCTCTAAATTCTTGTATATTAATATCTCAAGAAGTACTTTGACATCCTCTATATTTACAGCTTTACCTAGATCTTTAAAAATTGGAGTATTCTTCCCCATCTTTTCTATTTTTTCATCTTTCAATATAGAATATTCAGTAACTTCCAAATAAACATTTTTGTATGTTCTTGTCGTTCTTGTTGGATGTATTATAATTGGTTCTATACCTGACTGAACAACTGACTTTATGAACTCAGTACGATTGTCGGATACGTTAATAGAAATATTATGTTCGGCTATAAAGCCAGCAATTCTTATTTCATTTTGTTTTATAATTTTCTCGCTAGACGATGTAAACATTTTTTGCGATAAACACGGTTGTTTTTTAATAGTAGACATATTTTTTTATGTTTTTTTGACATGGTATGTTTTTTTAACTGCAGCTAAACTGCCAGTATAGTCTTTGTAACAAACTTTACGTCTAAAATAAATGGTGCCATGGTCGCTTTTTTCAATCCAATTTTTAATTTCTTCTATGTTTTCTCATTCCCATTTCCCAAATAAAGTTTGTTAACGTTTTTACAAATAGGTATTTATTTATAAACTATTATTAAAGTACATATTTTCAAACATCTGCAGTAACGCGGTGGCTATGCTTTCAGTCTT